AAAGCACAAATCTGTGCACCTGGCCTCTATTAAAACTATAATTTATTCACATCTTTCTCTTTTATTTTACCTTTCTCTTGAACTTCCCTACCTCAACATTTTCCCATTTCTCATTCACTAACTTTGTCTAGAATTTTCTTGCCACCATTCTGACTTAAAAATTCTATTCATTAAGATAAAAACAGCTGCAGATAAGGTAGTAATATGGTAAAAATTCATAAAACTGTATGCTAAAAAAAAAAAAAACACAGGTAAATTCTCTACTGTATGTAAATTATACCTCAATAAACCTAGCTTAAAAATACATTAAGCCCAGCAGGCATGACTCAGTGGTTGAGGGTCCACCTATAAACCAGGAGTCAAGTCTGATCCCCGGTCAGGGCACATGGATGGGTTATGGGCTCAATCCCCAGTGTGGGGCATGCTGGAGACAATCTATCAGTGATTCTCTCTCATCATTCATGTTTCTGTCTTTTTCTCTCCCTTCCTCTCTGAAACTAATATTTTAAAATACATATATATACACACATACATATACATATGTGTGTGTGTATATATATATATACATTCACATATGTGTGTGTGTGTGTGTGTGTGTATGTATATATTATATATATGCCTAGCTGCAGTGGCTCAGTGGTTGAGCATCAACCTATGAACCAGGAAGTCACGGTTTGTTTCCTGGTCAGGGCACATGCCTGGTTTGCGGGCTCAATCCCCAGGAGATGTGCAAGAGGCAATCATTTATTTGTTTATTTTTGCAAAAAGGGAGGATAAACCAGAAACACACATTCTTTCAGTGTGGAAAGAATGGAGTGAAAAAAAGTAAGAACTAGATTTCCCAGCTAACACACACACACACACACACACACACACACACACACACACACACCTAGATAGTAAGTTGTTATAAACCTCTTAAAAAAAAAGAACTAGGCTCTAAACATACCCTTTGATATTATTTGAATTTTCAGTATATGTGTATGTTTTTTATATATATGAAAAAATTAAATCAAAAATAGAAAAGCCGAAACCAGTTTGGCTCAGTGGTAGAGTGTCGGTCTGTGGACTGAAGGGTCCCAGGTTCAATTCCAGTCAAGGGCATGTGCCTTGGTTGCGGGCATATCCCCGGTGGAGGGTGTGCAGGAGGCAGCTGGTCGATGTTTCTCTCTCATCGATGTTTCTAGCTCTCTATCTTTCTCCCTTCCTCTCTGTAAAAAATCAATAAAATATATATTTTTAAAAATAGAAAAATAAAACTGCAAAAAGGCAAATACTTTAATTTTTTAAAATGATGCAGGTGGTTAATGCTATTAATGTAGATAAGAGCTCTTGACCTACCACATGACCCGGCAATTTCACTTCTAGTATTTATCCGAAATATTGAAAACACTAATCTAAAAAGATACATACACCTCTGGGTTCATTACAGCAACCAAGACATGACACCAAACTAGATGTCTATCAACAGATAAATTGATGTCACACATACACATGTACATGTGTGTACACACACACACACACACACGCATGCACACACTGGAAAATTACTCAGCCATCAAAAAGAATGAAATCTTGCCATTTTTGACAACATGGATAATGTAGAGGGTATAATACTAAGTGAAAAATGCCTTAGAAAGATAACTACCATATCACATATATATGGAATTTAAAAAAACAAATACAGACACAGAGAACAAACTGTGTTGCCAGGTAGGAGGAGGTAGGAGATGGGCAAAAAGTTGAAGGGGATTAACTTCAAGTTATAAAATAATTAACAGGGATATAACGTACAGCATAGGAAATTCTATATAATAAACACTTAATATGCTAAGTGTCTGGTCTGCCATTCAACCAATCAAAAAGAACATGCTAATGATATGCTAAAAGCCACTTAACTGCTAAAGGCCACTATGACATGCTGACCAGTAGGGGGCAGACAATTGGTCAACCAGTCACTATGATATGCACTGACCACCAGGGGGCAGATGCTCCAACTGGTAGGTTAGCTTGCTGCTGGGGTCCAGGATTGGGACTGAGTGAGACAGGCCAGACATTCCCTGGAGCCTTTCCACAGTCCCTCCCCAGCTGGCCAAGCTCCTACGTCCCTTGGGCTGGCCTGTGCCCTCTTGCAATCCAGGATCCCTCAGGAGATGTCAGAGAGCGGGTTTCAGCCTGATCCTTCAGGCCAGGGTGAAGGACCCCACTGGTGCAAGAATTCGTGCACCAGGCCTCTATATAGTCAATAATATAGTATCTATGTATGGTGCCAGGTGGGTATTAGAATTATTGTGCTGTTCACTTTCAAGTTATAAAATTGTCTAATCAGTATGCTGTACACCTACAACTAATGTAATATTGTGTAACTATGATTAAAAATAAATCTGCCAAAACCAGTTTAGCTCAGTGGATAGAGCATTGACCTGTGGCTTGAAAGGTCCCAGGTTCAATTCTGGTCAAGGGCATGTACCTTGGTTGTAGACACAACCCCCTTTGGGAGTGTGCAGGAGGCAGCTGATCAATGTTTCTCTCTCATCAATGTTTCTAACTCTCTATCTCTCTCCCTTCCTCTCTGTAAAAAAATCAATAAATATAATTTTTTTAAATAATAATAAGTAAATCTATAGGTAAGAGCTCAAAGGTAATAAAAAAATAAAAAGCATAAACTTTGTTTAAAAGAAATGTATTCAACCGCTTACATTCTTATTTCTACAAAAATACTTCTGGCAATAATACTGTCATTTTATTATAATTTTTAATATATTTTTAATTAGTTTCAGAGAAGGGAAAGAGAGAAAAAACCATCAGAGAGAATCAGCAATTAGCTGCCTCCCACACAATCTTCAGTAGGGATCTTCAAAATACTTAAAACTATTTTTTTTTATAAACCAGAGTAGACATTTGCTATGGGGGAATTGCCCTGGTTTTTATTTTATTTTATTGTTTAAAGTATTAAACATAGTAGTATATGTATTTCCTAAAACTAGAGGCCCGGTACACAAAATTGTGCACGGGTAGGATCCCTGCGTCTGGCCGGATATCAGAGTTGATCGAGGCCTTACAGGCTGCCAGCCGGGCCTTCCTTCATTCTGCACCAGCCCCTGGTGGTCAAGGCACATTGGACTCCAGAGTGGACAATTCGCATATTAAGCTCATATACATAAACCAGGAGAGGTCACGGTTCAATTCCTGCTCAGGGCACATTCCTGGGTTGCGGGTTCCATTCCCACTATGGGGAATGTGGGAGGCAGGTGATCAATGATTGTCTTTCATTATTGATGTTTCTATCTCTCCCTCACCCTTTCTCTCTGAAATCAATAAAAATATGTTTTTAAAAAGGATTTAAAATAATTTGTAACTCATGATCACGCCACTAAATCCCTTCAATTTAATTTGGAGCCATTCCCTTCCTTTCCCAATTGTCTATTCTAACCTAGCAAAACTGTTAGTGGATGTTTTTACTATCCAGCTATCATGTCTTTCAACATTTTAGGCCCAATATTTTCTCTCCTGATAGCAAGAATAAAGGGAGTTATGGAAAACTGCCAAAATAAATAAGAACACTTTTCCACATTTATGCCAAAATAAAATTACTGGAGAATTTATCGATTCTTTTCCTATTCTCCCAATCCAAACCTTTCCCTCCTCTAAACTCTTAAAACATTTGGTATATAAAACTCATCTACCCCTTAGTTTTACAAATGTGTCGTTTCTTAAACTGCTCTGTAAATCAAAATAGAATACCCTAAAGAACTGATGTCCTTTCTAGGGGTGTTTGCTATTTAAGAGATCAAAACAGAAAATATTAACCAGGAATCTTTGGTTGAGCCAGTGGAGGAAATAATTTAGGGCAGAGAATAAAATCACTCCACACTCACTGGAAATTCCTAAAAATAGAGATTTTAGATAATGGCAACAGCACCAACCTAAAAAATGAGTTTTGACATATCAGAGTTCTTTTCTTTCTTTTTTTTTAATATATTTTATTGATTTTTTTTTTTTTTTTTTTTTTTTTTTTTTTTTTTTTACAGAGAGGAAGGGAGAGAGATAGTTAGAAACATCGATGAGAGAGAAACACCGATCAGCTGCCTCATGCACACCTTGTACTGGGGATGTGTCCGCCACCAAGGTAAATGCCCTTGACCAGAATCAAACCTGGGACTCTTCAGTCCGCAGACTGATGCTCTATCCACTGACCCAAACCAGTTATGGCGAGAATTCTTTTCTTTTTAAGCAGGTTGAATAATATAGTCTAGGACAGTGGTGGGCAAAGTCATTAGTCAACAGAGCCGAATATCAACAATACAAAATTGAAATTTCTTTTGAGAAGCAAATTTTTTAAACTTAAACTTCTAACGCCACTTCTTCAAAATAGACTAGCCCAGGCCATGGTATTTTGTGCAAGAGCCACACTCAAGGGCCAAAGAGCCTCATGTGGCTCATAAGCCGCAGTTTGCCAACCACGGGTCTAGGAGGTCAGCTTAATAGAGGGATTAAGAACACAGGCTCTAGAGCAATCCCTCCAGGGTTTCAATTCCCATCCTGCTACTTAAATCACTTATGTGATTTCAGGCCTGAGTTTTCTTATCTACAAAATGGAAAACTTACCTCATAAAGGTGTTTTAAAAGCCAAGTAAGAAAATGAATGTGAAATGTTTAGCAAGATGCTAACACACAGAAAACAAAAAAACAACTGCTCTTATGAATTATTATTATGAAAAGGGCACTACTAGACCTAGACATAGAGATGGTCATGAAACAGAGATGGTCATTTAAAATCTCTTCAAATACCAAAAAGAATAGAAAAATTTGAACATTCTGTTCATTGAGGTATTCTCAACTACCCAGAATGGTGTCTGGCATATAATACACATTCAATAAATATTATTTTATTGAATGAGTAAATGAGGGTTGATGTAAGGGACATTTTAAATTTAATCTCTAATAGTCATTTTCCATTGTAAAACCTTAACATTCTAAAAAAAAATAAAATTACTTACTAGATGCCAGGGCTTCTGCTTCAGTGGAAGGAACCTTGTAGATTTTTCCTCCCTTATAGACAAAGCTCCCTTCAGTCACTTTGAAATCCAGATAACGAGTGACTTCTGTATAAAGTAGCATCTTAACCAGCTGACCTATAAAAGTCACACAATTCAAACTATGATTAACATCTTATTACTCCTTAAAAACTAGCAGAAATAAAAATACATTTACCAATACTAATGGCTCTGAATTCTTTACCATTATCCAACTCCTACAAAGTCTCCAAAGCCATATTTTAAATGGGACAATCAGAATGCATACCTACTTGTTAACATATTTAGAAGTATTTGTTAATTTATATAACTTTAAGGTTAATAACTTCATTAACTTGCTTTTGTAAAAGCTACACAATTATTACAGGTATGAGGTTTAGAATTATAATACTACTGCAAATAGGTTGGGTTTCTTTAAAGTTCCTGTTATATTTTAAAGAGAGGCAACTCAAAGGCAAGAATTTTCAGGAATTTATGCTTTATAGTTTCTGTGTCTATTTATATTAATAAAATAAAAATTAATTTCAGATAAAGAAAAAACAAAACAGCAAAATAAATAAATAGGAGGGTGGAAAGCTAGGCATATGATTAAAATATTACCTACCTATAAACCAAAGAATTTCTGTTATAATAAAAACAGCAAACTTCTTTTAGAAATAAAATTATTTTAAGACTCATTTGAAAAGATAAGCACACTAAGGCAGTCAAAATAAAAAGGTTTTCTTTGAAAACAAGAAATAATGACAAGAGCATTATGCAGCCAGAGATTAAAGTACGTTGTACACTTATATTTAGTCCACATATTTATCAAAAATAATATAGACCCACATATAAAAATTTAATATATCATAAAAGTTTAAATCAAAGTAGAAAAGATAAATGGTGTTGAGGGACAAATATTTCACCATTTTGAAAAACAATAAATTTAAATCTCTACTTCTCAAACAGGATAATAAAATAGATAATTTACAAAGAAAATAGGTGAAAAAATGAAACTGTAAAACTAAAAGTATTAATATTTACATAACCTTGAGATAGAAAAATTTTAAGCATGCCCTTCCATATCAAAACAAGAAAGATTAACCTATATGACTACATGAAATTTAAAAGCTTTTGCACACACACAAAAAACAGTAATATAAAAGGCCAATCACAAACTGGAAAAGGTATTTTAAACATATTTTAAAAGAGTATATAGTCTTTATAAAGAGCACTTTACAACAATAAGGGGGGGGGGGGGGGTGGGACATAAAACCCCAACAAAAAAATATGCAAAAGCACAAGACAGTTCACTAAAGAATACAAAAACCACCCTAGCTGGTTTGGCTCAGTGGATAAAACATTGACCTGCAGACTGAAAGGTCCAAGGTTTGATTCTGATCAAGGGTACATGCTGGGGTTGCGAGCTCGATCCCAAAAGGGAATGTGCAGGAGGCAGCCGATCAATGATTCTCTCTCATCAATGATGTTTCTATCTCCCCACTCCCTTGTCCCTGAAAAAATAAAAAATAACAATAATAATAACAATAATAATAATAAAAGAATACAAAAGCCACCCTGGAGGTGTAGCTCTATAGTTAGAGTGTTGGCTCGCACACCAGAGACACAGGTTCGAATCCTAGTCAAAGGCACATACCTGGGTTTTGGGTTCCCTCCCCAGCCCCAGGCAAGTGTGCAGGAGGCAATCATTAGCTGTGTCACACATTGGTATTTCTCTCTCTCCCCCCACTTTCACTCTCTCTGAAAAAGCAATGGGGGGAAAATCCTCATGTGAGGATTAATAAATTTTAAAAATATATATATAAAAGCCAATAAAAATCTAGAAATCATTTCACTCTCTAATAAAAAGATATTTTAAAAATCAATTATTTTGTCTTTTAGTACAACAAAATGACAAAAACTAAAATGAATAATATCCGGGGTTTGGTAAAAGTACTGGAAAAGAGGCAATCTCAGTCTAATGTTGATTATCAATATGAAGGGAAAGCCTTAAGAAATCATTCCTCATTCCCTTTATCCCCCATAATACACTTCAAGGAGTATACAGTAAGATTTATTACATAAACACACTCATTCTGTCTTCCTTTCTTCCTCCCTCTCCCTCCCTTCCCCCCCCCCTCTCTCTCTCTCTTGAACACACACACATACACACACACCAACTCTCATAGTATGTCAATTGAAAGAAATGGCCTGGCAGATTATACACCAAAATATATTAACTATAATTCTAGATGGTGAATTCTAATTATGTAAATTTTATTTCCTTTCTGCTTTTGTTTTCTAATTTCAATACAATAATTTTCTTACATAAAATATTTTGAGTTTATAATTCACCTCAAAATAACTTAGTTAACACTAAATTATTTCAGAGAAAATTCAAATAAGAACTTTGCATTAAAACAAATTACAGGATATAAATTCAAAAAAAGGGAAAGGGTGGTAAGTACTTTATTTAAAGGACATAAATAAACTTTCCAGTCATTCAGAAAAAAACAATAATTTAAAAAGATATTCAACTCTTCTAATTAAAAAATAACTTGAAAAGCCAACAAATTAAAAAGTCAAGAGAAAAACTCTGTTATAAATGCTTACAATTTTTACATATACTGTCATATCATAATTTTCTTTCTTCAGAACCAATCACTAAGAAGTCACCTCCATTTCTCTCCATTTTTATTGCTTCCAGACACCTCTAATGGAGCATATTACTCACCATACTGTAACCATTTTAAAATATCCATTTCCACATACCTGGAATAATATTCTCTGTCAGGAGTTAGTTTCTAGTTTTAAATCAGATTCTGTCATAAATTTAAGTTAGAATTCTTTACCATTAGCCATAAGGAACTTGGGAATTAAGTCAACATTCCAATCTCTTCCTCTCCCCATTGATGATGGTGGTGCTCCTGGTATTTTAAATCTTTTGTATAACTAAAACCAAAACAAAAAATATCCATAATGTAACAAAACTTAATTCCCATATACTATGCAACTGTTTTTTAATGACATGGTTTTGGGGTAATAATGCCAGTTCATGAGGTAAAGTATAACAAGAACATTTATTTTTATTTTTATATTGATTTTAAAGACAGGAGGATTTAAAGAAGGGAGAGAAAACATCAACGTGGGAGAGAAACGTGGATAGGTTGCCAGACAGGGGATAAAATCTTTGGTGTACAGGACAACACTCCAACCAACTGGGCCACACCAGCCAGAGGGAGCACATTTCATTTTTATCAGGTAAAACTGTTAGTAAAGTTCTAATGCATATATAAACTAAACATATTACTAAACTAATGAATGTTAGTTAACATAAGTACTGCAAAGACAGTTTGTTTTTATTAGTAGAAAAGCAAGAACATGAAACAATTTGTCAATTACATATTAATTAGTTCTGCATATACACTTATTTGTAGAAATCATTTAAATCCATTCTTTCCTGAATACAAAGCCAAAAGGCTTAATTTTGCTTTTATAGTTATGTAAGGAGTTAAAAATAAAATCTGGAATCTTCATATCAGAAAAGACATTTAAAATTAGTTCCAGTTAATTTGCAATTTGTGTGAGAAAGTAGAAACTCTAGATGAAAGCTTGCAGTTTAAAATTTCAGAACATTCAAATTCACATATTGCTAAGGCGAAACAGAATAAATCAAGTGGCAGGAGGCAGCTGATCAATAATACTCTCTCATCATTGATGTTTCTCTCTCCCTTCCTTTCTGAAATCAACACTTTTTTAAAAAGTAAAAGATTCAAAGTATAAAAGCATATTAACTTATTCTAATACTTACATCTTCCAGAGGTGTTATAGATGCACTTTCTCCTCCATAATATGGGTTTCTATCCATGTGAAGAACTTTCTTCCCATTCACTGACATTATACCTGACAGGATACATTCCTACAGGAAAAGCATATATCTTCAAAAGAAGAAAAATACTACAGCATGCTTCAAACAGATACTTTTTTTTCAAGCCTCTCATGAAATGTTTTAGTAACTAACACCCATGTATGTGCAATATATGATGTACATTAAGGATAAATATTATTGGCTCTGGGCACCACCATCTTTGAGGACAGCCCAAAGAAGGGTTCAAAGTGTAATCTGTAGAACCCTGTGAATCCCAAGGTTAAAACTATTTTCATAACCAGAGGCATGGAAACATGGAACAGATTTACAAATATCAAAGGAAAGGGAGGAGAGTGGGGAGAGATTAACTAAAGATCTAGAAGCCCAGTGTGCAAAATCACATGGCCCTGCCCACCTGCCCACCGCCCCACTCGCAGCCCCTCCCACCCGTACTAGTCTTTGGTCATTACAGCATTAGGACCACTGGTTTTTATAATACAGACTAAAGGCCCAGCGCATGAAATTCATGCACTGGCAGAGGAGGGTCCCTCAGCCAGCAAGCAGCATCCCGCTCACAGTCCAGGAGCCCTCACTCCTCCGCCTGCCTGCTCGCTGCTCCTGACTGCTGTGCTCACTACTCCTAAGCACTGCCACAGAGGTGAGAGAGGCACTCACCAGCCGTGAGCCCAGCTTCTGGCTGAACGGCACTCCCCTGTGGAAGCACACTGACCACCAGGGGTCAGCTTCTGTGTTGAACATCTGCCCCCTGGTGGGCAGTGCACATCACAGTGACCAGTTATTCTGGGCATTCCACCATAACCATCACTTAGGCTTTTATTATATAGATTATATAGACTAGAGGCCTAGTGTATGAAAATTCATGCACTGGAGGCAGAAGATCGCTCAGTCCAGCTTGCCCCCTTCTCACAGTCAGGGGCAGGAGGCGACCCAGCAATCAGGGGAAGGCGGCACCCCATCACACCTCTGCTGTTGCCACTGCCAGCAGTGCAATCCTCGGCCAGCCCTAGTTATCTGAGCCCCAGCCGCTCTGGGAGGCTGGGCAGCTGCCATCTGAGGCTTGTCTGAAACTCCAGCCGGCCCTGGGAGGCTAGGGGGCCGAGCGGACAGGGTGCCGCCATCTTGTGGCTGTGGGTGCCGCCATATTTGAGGGTGGGGCAGTCAATTAGCATATTCCCTCCTTATTGGCTCTGGGTGCTGCCATCTTTGAGGTCAGGGCAGTCAATCAGCATATTCCCTCCTTACTGGCTGTGGGCACCTCCATCTTTGCGACAGCATGAGAGTCAATTAGTATATTTCCTCTTTATTTATAGGACCAATGGCCCGGTGCACAAAATTTGTGCATGGTGGGGTGAGAGGGCCCCCTCAGCCCAGCCTGTACCCTCTCCAATCGGGAACCCACCCGGCCTATGCTCCGCCATTCATCCCTGCCCACAGGGAGGCCTTTTCCACCAGGCCAGGGCTCCACCATTAATCCCGCTCACAAGGAGGCCCTGCCCACTGAGCCCGGGCTCCGCCATTCATTCCCGCCTACAGGGAGGCTCTTCCCACCCAGCCTGGACTCTGTCATTCATCCCTGTCCACAGGAGGCCCTGCCCACCCTTCAACGGCTCTGAGATCAATGGCAGAGGAAAGAGAGGCCCTGTCCACTCAACCGGGGTTCTGATGGCCCCATCGCCACCCACAGAGAAGCCCTGTCCGCCCTGCCCAGGCTTTGTAATCAATGCTGTGCAGAGGAAGACCCTCCCAAACTGGCCTCCCAGCCTTGGCAGCTTGCCTTGGCTCTCACAGCCATGGCTTTATCTAGAAGGATGTTTGAAGGGTTGTCCGGAATACATCTGGTCTAATTAGCATATTACCCTTTTATTAGTATAGATACTCATTACCTATAGACACAGACAATAAGATAATGAAGACCTTGTGTGGGGTGGGAACTGGGTGGAGGAGGGCACTAAGGGAGTAAGGGGACATCTGTAATACTCTCAACAATAAAAATTTTTAATAAAAACTTGCAGATTAAAAAAAAAAAAATCAGGCCAAAACCGGTTTGGCTCAGTGGTAGAGCATTGATCTGCAGACTGAAGAGTCCCGGGTTCGATTCCTGTCGGGGGCATGTACCTGGGTTGCGGGCACATCCCCAGTAGGGGGTGTGCAGGAGGCAGCTGGTCGATGTTTCTCTCTCATCGATGTTTCTGGCTCTCTCTCTCTCCCTTCCTGTCTGTAAAATATCAATAAAATATTTTTTTTTTTTTTAAATCAGTATTTTCATGCCCAGCCAGCATTGCTCAGTGGTTGAACCTATGAACGAAGAGATCACAGTTCATTTCCCAGGCAGGGCACATGGCTGGGTTGTGGGCTCCTTCCCCAGTATAGGGTGTGCAGGAAGTACCTGATCACTGATTCTCATCATCAATGTTTCTCTCGCTCCCTTTCCCTTCCTCTCTAAAATCATTAAGAAATCTGTTTTTATAACTATTTTCATAATAAAATTATTTTTCACTGTATGGACATTAGCGCTGATCATATAAGATCACTACTGGGTAAAATGAATTAGGGCAGTGGCTCTTAACTACACTAGTCATTATATTCTGCACCACCAGTTACAGTTTAAAAAAGGCCAGTTTCACTTAATGTCCTTGATGAAGCATTAAAAATTACCTGTTAAATGTACACATATAGCCACTCTGGCTCAAAAAAAAAACATTGTGTATCATGAACTAGCTACTCTTTTCATGGACCATCATTTTTATTTGAAAGAACCACTGAAAAACAAACTATGATTACTCAAACTTAAGTATTTGGCAGACGTTTTTTTCAAAAATAACTGACAATATTTGTTGCCAAAAACCAAAAGTCAAAATTTTTAATGAAAATTTGAATTCTGGAAAACTTACATCCCCACCAGGGCATATGTCAGATCCACAATACTTAAAAGAACTTTTCGAATAATATGAGCAATGACATCAACAAATATGAGTTTCTGTTATTGTATAATGAAATGAGTCAATTCAAGATCTGCATTACTCAGTAAACCATTATTTTCCAAATGACCAATGAATCTGTTCAAAATCATGCTGGGGGAGAAGAGGAATTCAAAGTGCCAGATAAATTAATGAATTTTATATGATAGATTACTAAATGTTTACTGGTATGGTTTCAGATATATTATTGCAATTTATGTAAAAAACAACAACAAACCTGCCACTTGTGTTTTGGTGTGATTCATGATCTGAGAAGCTACAAAAACAGTTCTCTTTTCAACCTACACATCTGTATGAGGCCTGATTTTCCTTTTTTTATTTTTTATTAAAATTATTTTTTACAGAGAGGAAGAGAGGGATAGAGAGTTAGAAACATCAATGAGAGAGAATCGTCAATCAGCTGCCTCCTGAACCACCACTCCCCCCTCCCCACTGGGGATGTGCCCGCAACCAAAGTACATGCCCCTGACCAGAATCTAACCCGGGACCCTTCAGTCCGCAGGCCGATGCTCTATCCACTGAGCCAAACCGGTTTTGGCGAGGCCTGATTTTCTTCATTTACTTCAGCTAAGACAATACATCACAAAAGACTGAACACCAAAGCAGATGCAAATTCAACTATCTTTTGAGCCAGACATTAAAGAGATGTGCAGAAAATGTACAATAATGATACTCTTCTCATAAATATTTTTTGTTTCGGGAAATGTAGTTATAAAGTGTTATACATGTTAACATCTAATGGGTTTATCATTGTTATCTCTAAGTGAATTAATAATATATTTTTTAATTCTCGGTGATGATTTCTAAAATGATAAATGTCAATAGATAAAACCCTTATAAACAAAAGCTCTTCAGGGTCCTCAATTTTTAAGTGTCAACAGATCCTGAGATCAAAGAGTCTGAGAGCTAGAGCCCTAAAGGAAGCATCCAGGATTATCATTAATAAATTGAAAAGTGCCTAGCCGGTTTGGCTCAGTGCATAGTGTGTCAGCCTGCAAACTGAAGGGTCCCAGGTTCGATTACGGCCAACAGCAAATGCCCAGGTTGTGGACTTGATCCCCAGTAGGGGGCATGCAAGAGGCAGCCAACCAATGATTCTCATCATTGATGTTTCTATATCTCTCTTCCTCTCCCTTTCTCCCTAAAATCAATAAAAATATATTTTAAAAAAATAAATAAATTGAAAAGTGACAGAGGAATATAAAAGACCACTCTCAGGGGGAAAAGATAAACAAAGCATGGATATATTAACATACCAAAATCAAGGTGGAGGGGGAGGAGAGACAAAAAAGAATAAAATTAATGCAGAGAAACACAGAGATGGGATATACACTCACAACTGTTATACCAAAGGGTTTTGGTGATCAGAAATATTTTTTTTTAAAGAATAAAGAAAATCCCATGTACCTTTTAAAATCCTTAGTGCTTTTCAAATTTATCCAAATGACCCTAGATAGTAAAGAACAATCTCTTTTCCACTTACACATAGAAGTCTGACTTTGAAACTGTATCTTAAAAATTCACACAGACCTAGCTGGTTTGGCTCAGTAGATAAAACATAGGCCCTCGGGCCGAAACCGGTTTGGCTCAATGGATAGAGCATCGGCTTAGGGACTGAAAGGTCCCAGGTTCAATTCCGGTCAAGGGCATGTACCTTGGTTGCAAGCATATCCCCAATAGGGGGTGTGCAAGAGGCAGCTGATCGATGACTCTCTCTCATGGATGTTTCTAACTCTCAATCTCTCTCCCTTCCTCTCTGTACAAAATCAATAAAACATATTAAAAAAAAAAAAAAAAAAAAAAAAAAAAAAAAACCTTGGCCCTCTGACTGAAGAGTCCCGAGTTTGATTCTGGTCAAGGGCACATACCCTTGTTTGCAGGTGCCAGGCCCTAGTCAGGTAAATGCGGGAGGCAACTAAGTGATGTGTCTCTCTCACATCAGTGTTTTTCTCTCTCTCCCTCTCCTTTCCATTTTCTCTAAAAATCAATGGAAAAAAATATCCTCAAGTGAGGATTAAAAAAAATAATTAATTTTCACACATATTTCAAATT